GAGAGAGAATTTTTAATATTTATTTTTTAGTTCTCGGCGGACACAACATCTTTGTTGGTATGTGGTGCTGAGGATCGAACCCGGGCCGCACGCATGCCAGGCCAGCGCGCTACCGCTTGAGCCACATCCCCAGGCCTGTGAGAAGCATTTATGGAGTTCCTACTTTAGCTTTCCATGTTTTGGTTCTAGTCTATGGTTGTAACCACCATACATTATGGGCTCATCGCTACTTAGTAGTGCAGGTGTATTGACTCTATTTCTCTCATTTATTTACCAAGCAGATCTGGCACCATTCTTTCACATACAATTTTATAGAAAGTTCCAGGCCTACATGTGTATTGGTTTAGATATGGTTTAAGCATGTCCCCCAGTGGTTCATGTGTTGGAGCTTGGTTCTTAGGGTGGCAATGTTGGAAGTTGGGACCTTTAAGAGGTGGGGCCTAGTGGGAGGTGGTGAGGTTAACTGAAGATTCTGCCTTCAGAAGGGGCTGTGGGACTCCTGAATTGCTCTTTCGTTTCCTGCTTTGCGATGTGATCACTTCCTCCTTCATGCATTTCTACCATCCATGATAGTGTTAGAGCTAGTGCTATGCTGTTTGGACTTTCAGCATCAAAAAGTATGAGCTAATAGAGTAGGGAGGAAGAGCATGAGAAGAAGATTACCACTAAATAGGGAAGAGAGGTGGGAGAGAATGGGAGGGAGAAGGGGAATTGCACAGAAGATGGAAGGAGAGCCTCATCGTTATACAAAATACATGTATGATGATGTGAGGGGGAAGAAGAAATAAAAGAGAGAGAGAAATGTGTCACATTAGATTGGGTAGAGAGAGGTTATGGGAGGGGAGAGGAGGGGGGGGATAGGAAGGACAGCAGAATAAAATAGACACTAGTATTGCTGTATGTATATACGTGCCTGTATAACCAATGTGATTCTGCAACCTGTAGACTTGGAAAAATGAGGATTCATACCCCATTTGATTCAAATGTATGATATGTCAAGATCATTGTTATTGTCATAAGCAACTAATAAAACAAACAAACGACAAAAAACCCCCAAAAGTATGAGCTAAATAAACTTATTTTCTTTATAAGGCTAGCCTGCCTTCAGTTATTTTATTATAATAATGAAAAACTAAAACACTGTTTTTAATCTATATAACTGTCAACCTAAGTTCTTCAATCCTTTGTTTCCAAATATATAAAATGAAGAGTTGATTGAGTTTTATTAATGATAAACTAGTATTTTGTAAATATTTTTCTGCTATGGGAGCACTGTATAACATGATGCTGATAAATTTAGGTGGCACATTGTTAGGAATATTTAATGCATTACCTGGACTTTATTCATCTCCAGTTTGTTCTTCTCATTGGCACTCTGGTCTTGTTTGCTAGCTCCCTTTTTCTGAGGGCCTTTCCCAAAGAAGATGTAATTTACAAAGGCATATTCCAGCAAAGCCAGGAAAACAAACACAAAGCAACCCATCAGGTAAATGTCAATCGCTTTGACATAAGGGATCTTTGGCAGGGTCTCCCTGAGATGAGTGCTGATGGTTGTCATTGTCAGCACAGTGGTGATTCCTGTAAAACAGAAGGACAAAACTTAGCTGAAAGTCAACTACGTGAAGTTGTCCTTTTTGGAATTGAGAGGACAGATTCCATTCCTTTACTGTGCCCCAGAAGGAAAGCAACAATATGATAAACCATTGGACAAAAAATCCTGTAGATTCCCTCAATTATCCATTAATAAATCATAAAATAGAATGTGTAGTTAATGGAGGGTTGGCAATATTTTTAAAAATGCACTAAGGTTAAAAAAAGTAGATGAAGAATCAGATCAAAGTCCCATTGGATGCCTACTGTCCAATGTACCTCATTCCATTCCATCTTTTCTCTTTCAATTTCTTGCTTACCACCCCACTAATCCCCACAGCAGCTACTATGAAATTGAAAGTGAGCGACCAGTGTGAGGAGATTGTCATTGTCCCAAGAATCTACAATACACCCAACTCACAAGGCAGACAACTTGCATTTAAAAATAATTCATCTTTTACATCTGGTTGTGCTGTTTACATTCCTTTTTGAGCTTGCATATCTTCATAAGCTTTTAGCACATAAATATTGAACACTTCTGCTTCATGATCAATACAGAATCAGAGGCCATCAAGATAGGCAACTGACTTGTCTTGTTTTTTCCTACCTTTTTCCATGACTATATTTACTGCCTTATATTGATTAATAAGCAATACCTGGAAAACCTACAAAATAAATGTTTTTGTGGTTTATCTAGAAATAATGCAGAAAATATTGCTGTTATTTTTGGTGAATAAAATCAATTTTGTATAATTTACCTCAATCAAAATAAAATGTGAGTTTTGAAAAAAAATAAGGCACCATTCATAGTAATATGTCACCAAAAGAAGAAACATGAGGAAGTTTGTGATTTGCAACAAATATTTGATTTATGTATTTTCCAGATATAATATAGTCCTGTTGCTTTAGTTTTTCAAATATTATCTCTAGTTTTTTTTTTTTTTTTATTCCAGAGCCCAGAACAAATTAGTGCCCTGATGTCAGGATAAAGTATCTTAAAAAAAATAGAGCTTTGATTTGTTAAAAGAAATCTAGGACTGTAAACTCATAAAAGGAAGATTTTTAAAATTTACTTGGTTAAATGCATGATTGCTAATAGTGTAATAGTTGTGTTGCTGAATAATGAATATTTTGTGTTGATGGTGGTGATTATGAAATAATTGGGAAAAATATAAAATAAAAAAGAAGTTGGAATCTTGTGTAGGTAGTTTGATACTTACATTACACATTCATATGGTGTTTTACAATTTTAAGTGCCTACAGTTATGAATTATTTTCTCTGGCTGTCATAACAGCTCACTGTGATTAGTGGGCTATATTATTTGTGGGAAACACATTATTTCTGTTTTAACCTGAGTGAATAGAAATTCTATGATTAGTTATTTTGCTGATGGTTTCCAAGCTAAAGGGCAAAAAACCCCACAAAAAAACACAATAAAATGTTTAAAAAACAGCAGTTAAAATAAACACAGAGATATAAGAAGGTAATAAATGAGACTTGATGGAAGTCTTTAAAAATAAAGACAGAAAGTGTGAGATGGATAGAAAGACAAAGGGTCACTAACAAAGAGAATGGGAGATAGCAAAAGAAAACAAGAGAAGATAGTTCACACTCATTTGGCAGAGTGTTCTAGATGTATAGATTCCTTCTTTGACTATTCAACTTTTCTAAAAAACATAGTCTATATATTTTTATTAGTGTATCATAGTTATATATAATTTGGGGGTTTATTGTGGCATAATCACACATGCATGAAATATAATTTGCTCCACTTCAGACTTCAGTATTGCCTCTATCACTCCCTGTCTCCCTCCTGTTCCTCTTCTTTACTGATCTTTCCTTTATTTGTTAAAGGTTTTTAAAAATTGGTGTGTTGTAGATATGTATAAAAGTGAAATCCATACAAATGGTATATTCATACAAGTGCATAGCATAGTTTGGTCAATTCATTCCACGGTTCCTCTCTTTACCTGTCAACTTTTTGAAGATTGGATAAAATAGAAAATCAGGTCTACTACATGAAAGCTAAACTAGTTCAGATCCTTGATTAATTCAAATGTGCAGGACTGATGAAATGCCATTATCTCATTTTTTTTTTGGAAGAAAACTTTAAATTTCATCTAGTATAATTCTAGTTAATGTGTTTGACAGAAATTTACAGATTTACTAATTTTATTTCTGCTTTTATTCTTTGATTTGAAGTTTATGAAAATAATCTCCAGAAAGTGATCACCACAATGACTGAGGGTCAAATGTTGAGGGAGATCTTTCATCAGACACATCTTAACACACTCTAACTTTCCAAGAAACCATTTAAAGTCTCAAACATAGGCTTTCAGCTTCCAGCTTCCAGCAATTACTCAACAACAGCAAGATTAATTCTGAATTCTGTTCCTCCAGAAAGGAAACAATTTTTTATTTTGTCATGATCACAGATCATTAATATAGTAGATAAATTGTGCCTTATTCAATATAATAACCTCCCTTTAAACGAGACTCATTTTGGTTGTTTTAACCCTGGTGAATATTCTTCAGGGGTAGCATTTCCCAACAATTAATGGACCTTGGTTAATGGTCACAAGGTTTAGCTTTTATTTATTTATTTATTTTAAAAAAACCCTTTTTTTTAGTTGCCCATGAACCTTTATTTTATTTATATGTGGTACTGAGAATCGAACCCAGTGCCTCACACATGCCAGGCAAGTGCTCTGCCACCAAGCCACAAACCCAGCCCCAAGGTTTAGCTTTTCTCCAAGAGTTTTTGAAAACAATGAATTGTGTTTTCAGCAGAGAAACAAGGAACAAAAAGAAAGTCATCAAGAAGTTGGTAAAAATTAGTGTAATGAGAATTTAAAAAATATACTTCACAAAGCACTGACATAATGGGAAACATACTCTAGGATTTTTTTTTGTGTGTTTTTTTTTGTAAAATGTCATTGTAAATGTGCTTATACTTAGATGTTTTATATCTAAGTACTCTTCTGGCAATCTACTTCTTTGGTTTGCTGTAAGAGAGTTCTTACCTATGATTCCTAATATTGGTTATTTGTTTGAAGGTACTACTCATTAACTCTGCAAAAAAATACTGGGAATGCATTACCTAGTGCAACTCTGGCTGCAGATGCATCATAATTGATCCAAAAAGACACCCAGGACAGAATTGTAATCAGCGTAGAAGGCATGTAGGTTTGCAAAATGAAGTAGCCAATATTTCTCTTTAGACGGAAACTTAGTGACAGTCGTGGATATGCCCCTGAGTTGGAAAAAGAAAATGAAAAAAATATCAAATCATCATTGATTGTAGTTATCTTCTTCCTTTCAAATAGTGTTTCTTTAGGCAAAGCTTCCTCACCTGTTGTGAACTCCACCTTCTTGGACACCATCTTGTAGTCAACAATTGAAAACTGAGGAAGCTCAATTTTATTAACTCCTGTTACTGCTCCTTCTCCTCCATTCCAGTAAAACTCAATGTCATCAGTGGTATAGCCATCTGAAATGGAGAAACAGTCCATTTACACAGAGTTCAATTGGTCTAGAAATTCATTTTGAAGACATGTTTGGAGCCAGAGGGAATATTCTCAGCAAATGATTGTGAAGTAGCATTGCTTTAAATTAAGTTGGCATATAGATCTCATGAGGAATGCTGTTTCTGATGAATTGGTAGTGGCTACATTGGGAATGCATCTGGCTTTAGTAGACATAAGAACTAGATTGTGCTGGGTGTGGTCGTATATGCTTGTAATCTCAAGACTCAGGAGACTGAGGCAGGAGGATTGCAAGTTCAAGGGCATTCTTAGCCACTTAATGAGACTTTGTCTCAAAATAAAAAATAAGAAGGATTTAGCTCAGTGGTAAAGTCCCCCTGGGTTCAATCCCCAGTACAAAAAAAAAAAATCAAGATCTCTTAGTGATATCTGAAGATATCACTGTTGCATATCTATTGTATATTTATTTTCATTATGTTTATCAATGGGCACTCTGGTTAAAGTGAAGGGCAGCTGGATTCCAGGTATTTGGAAATGGACTTTGGCTATACATTATATAGCAACAACAACAACAGCAGCAACAAGTAATAATTATCGAGCACATGTTGGCTAAAAGGGAGACAGAAAGAACAAATGAATGGAATATAGTGGAAGAACAAATTTGTACATATCTATTAAATGATAAAGATATTAAAAATGTATTTCTTTTAGAAAAGTAGTGAAGTTTATATTCTTATCCTTTAACTATAGCAATATTATTATAGCTAATTTACAGGTAAAAACTTTAGGAAATGTATCAATTCCTGATAATACTTTGATATTTCCATACTCCTGAGGGTAAGCTTTAGCTAATATGTAGGGAATTGTAGACAGCAGGAAAAGGGTCCACCTTGAAGTCTTTGTCATGGAAAGTCCTATGTCAATGGCTTATTTTTTTCCTCCCAGTCTACTCACACTTGCCAGTGGTCAGGCTGTGTTATAGTTGTGGATAAGAATAACTTGCATAATAAGAATGCATAAATATATTTAAAAATATAAAAGTAATTTGAAGTATATTTAAGATCACAATTTTCTCTTTTTACCAGTTAGAGACAAAGAAAAGCTTTATAAGTTCATTTTCCTTTTATACTCACTTCAAATGAAAAAGTATCGAATCTTTTGTTTCCCTCAGAATTACTGAGGCTTGTGTTTCAAAGGTAACCTATAAGCTCTTTGTAGTAGACATCATACTGACTGACTTTTGATTAAAGCAATAGCACTTTTTCAAGAGATAAAAAAAATGCTTAAAATTTGGAAGTTGAATGCCAAGTGCCAAGGGGTGACCACCAAACTTATTATCGCAGGAATGAAAGAAACTACTCTCCCTCCAAGCTACCTCCTTTTATTTTTTTAAAAAGGGAAAACAAAGCTGCCTCATCTTTACTGCTTTAAACAGTTCTAATTCTTCTTCAAAAAGCTGTTTTGAATTCTTATCTCTGAACTTATTGAACTCATGACCATTTTGTATATGTTGCTTTTTGGACCTTGTAAAGGTGACCATTTACAGTAAGATGTTTCAGTGTATTTTATTTCTCTTTAAACTATCTCTTTCTAGATCCAAAAATTTGCCCTCTCTTAAAAGGCTAATAATTTTCTATATCCAATAATCCATCCTACAATGACCCAAACACAGAAATAGAAGATATCTGCTTTTAGTTATAATTGCTGATGTCTCAGGGACTGTGAGACCCTCTTTACCTACTGGATTTAGCACAATCTACATGAGGCTAATTGGCATACTGGCGATTTATGACAAGGTTGGGTATGACTGTGAGATAGTTCTTAACATCTCCTTGAGAATCTGATAAGAACCTATGAATAAACTACATAGAAAAAAACCTAGACTGCTTATATTTGTCTATAGATAGATGGATAATCTCCGTGTCCAGGAATGAAAAAAGTTGTTTGATAATTTTAGGCTTAGTATGAAAACTAGGTGATAAATTACAACCTTGAGGTAGTCTTTGAACTGTAGGAACCTAAGAGAAAAATATTAAGTACCAATTAGAGTTGAGAGTCAAAGATAGTGTGCAGTCTGGGGTTGAGAGGGGAAAAGGAAGTGGGTAAGCCAATCAGCACCTCTTGTTATCTACCACTTGTGAGGAGAGCAGAGTACTTCACTATCTCACCATGAAAAAAGCTGGAAAATGACAACCAATCCATGCAGATTTTTATCTGCAGTCTCATTTTTTTTTGTAAGTTCAGTTATTCACAACTGTGATCTGAAAGTATTAAATGGAAAATTCCAGAAATATAGATTTTAAATTGCACACTGTTCTTAGGAGCATGATGAAATTCCATGCCTTCCTGCTGCTTCTTGCCAACACATAAATCATCTCTTGGTCCAGCCTCTCCATGCTGCACTGTGCATGCTGCCCTCCTGTTAGTCCCTTAGTAACCATCTCAGTTATCAGATCACCTGTGATGGCACTGCGGTACTTATGTTCAGGAAACCTTTTCTGAGAGACAGCGAGAGAGACCGCATTCACACAGATTCATTACAATTTATTGTTATAATTGTTTTACGTTATTATTGTTAGTTGCTGACTGTGTCTAATTTAGAAGTTAAACTTTATCATAGGTATATACGTATAGGAAAAACACAGTATCTACAGAGCTTAACATGATCCACAGTTTCAGACACTCACTGGGGGTCTTGGAACATATTTCCTTGCAGATAAGGAAGGATTATTGTATTCAACAATTCATGCAGTCAGTGGTCTAGGTCTTTGTTTCCAGGCTCGATTGCACTTTGTTTAACTAAAACCAGTTAGACATAGTGTTCAAGGCACTGAGATAATTACAGATGATTTGGGGGAAAAAGGAATGCTCACTGCATTTCAGGTAGATGCTTGAGTTCTCATGGGAACAATAATGGCAACTGGATCCAAAGTAAAGAATAGAGGCCTAGGAATACACTATTATTCAAAGGTTACACAAGAACATTTTGCCACTGAGAGAGAACATCAATTTACTCACACCTAAACAACCTATTTACCAAAGGTTTTCCTTTATGAACTAGTGACTTCACACAGTGTCTCAGAGCCTGAACACTTGGATACCAATGATGTTGTTTCCTAGCAACAAAAACTACACAGAAGCTCTCAAAATTTTCTCTCAGCCCCTGGGGACTTCTTAGTGGTGCAGAAAGTACAGATAAAATTACGTTGATGTCACTGGATGAAGATTCACAGGGCTAGTATAATGTAGAAGTATCTGGATGTTAGTGTCCTTTGCTATTCAAAAGATTTTCTTTTGGATGCATTTTCTAATCTGAAATTAAAATTTTTCCCTACTGTGCTTTTTAAAAATTTATTTTAGTTAATATTATATATATGTATATATAATTTAATGATATAACTAATTAAATTTCTTTTAATTAGTTATGACAGTAGAATGCATTTATGTATTTTGATTATATCACACATAGATGGGATATATTTCTCATTTTTCTGAGTGTACATGTTGCAGAATCATGTTGGTCATGTAGTCACATATATACATACAATAATAATTTCTGTTTAATTCTACTATCTTTCCTATCCTCACATTCCCTCCTCTACCCTCCTATCATTTCCCTCTACCTAATCTAAGGTAATGCTATTTTTCCCTAGTGCCCCCTCCCCACCTTATCGTAAATTAGCATCCGCATATTAGAGAAAACATTTGGCCTTTTGTTTTGTGGGATTGGTTTATTTTGCTTAGCATGGTATTCTCCAACTCCAGCCATTTACTGCCAAATGTCATAATTTCACTCTTCTTTAAAGCTGAGTAATATTCCATTGAGTATATATAACAAGTTTTTTTAATCCATTCATCTATTCATGGACACCTACGTTGGTTCCATAGTCTAGCTATTGTGAAATGAACTAGATGATAAATTACCACATTGATGTTGCTGCATTACTATAGTATGCTGATTTTAAGTCCTGTGAGTATAGGCCAAGGAATGGGATAGCTGGGTCAAATGATGGCTCCATTATCAGTTTTTTGAGGAATCTCCATACTGCTTTCCATAGTGGTTGCACCAATTTGCAGTCCCACCAGCAATGTATGAGAGTACCCTTTTCACTACATCCTTGGCAACATTTATTGTTGCCTGTATTCTTGATGATGGCCATTATGACAGGAGTGAGATGAAATCTTAGAGTAGTTTTGATTTGCATTTCTCTAATTGCTAGAGATGTTGAACATTTTTTCATATATTTATTGATCAATTGTATTTCCTCTTCTGTGAAGTTCCTGTTCAGTTCCTTAGCCCATTTATTGATTGGGTTATGTGTTTGTTGTTTTTTTTGATGTTAAGTTTTTTGAGTTTTTTATATATCCTAGAGATTAATGCTTTATTGGAAGTGCATGTGGTAAAGATTTTCTCCCAATCTGTAGGCTCTCTCCTCATATTATTAATTGTTTCCTTTGCTAAGAAGAAGCTTTTTAATTTGAATCCATTTCATTTATTAATTCTTGATTTTACTTTTTGTGCTTTAGGAGTCTTGTTAAGAAAGTCAGATCCTAGGCTGATGTGGTGAAGATTTGGGCCTATTTTTTCCTTCTCTTAGGCAGAGGATCTCTGTTCTAGTGCCTAAGTCTTTGATCCACTTTGAAATGATTTTTGTGCAGGGTGAAAAATAGAGGTTTAGTTTCATTTTGCTACATATGGATTTCCAGTTTTGTCAGCACCATTTGTTGAATAGGCTATCTTTTCTCCAGTGAATGTTTCTGGCACCCTTGTCAAGTATGAGACAACTGTATTTGTGAGTTGTGAGGGTTTGTCTCTGTGTTCTCTATTCTGTACCATTGGTCTACAAGCCTATTTTGGTGCCAATACTATGTCATTTTTGTTACTATAGCTCTGTAGTATAGTTTAAGGTCTGGTATTGTGATGCCTCCTTTTTTCACTTTCCTTGCTAAAGATTGCTTTAGCTATTCTGAGTCTCTTATTTTTGCAACTAAATTTCATGATTGC